TTCCTTCCTTCCTTCCTTCCTTCCTTCCTTCCTTCCTTCCTTCCTTCCTTCCTTCCTTCCTTCCTTTTTTGGTGCCAGTCCTAGGGTTTGAATTCAGGGTCTGGACTCTGTCTCTAAGCTTCTTTTGCTCAAGACTATCACTCTTCAACTTGAGCCACAGCTTCATTTCTGGTTGTTCTGGTAGTTTTTTGGAGATCAGAGTCTCACAAACTTTCCTGTCCAGGCTTGCTTCAAACAATGATCCTTGTATCTTAGCTTCCTGAGCAGCCAGGATTACAGGCCTGAACTACTAATCAGTGCCTGGCTCAACTGAATGCTTCTACAGATTGTTCAGTGTTCTTGATCCTGGGTCTCAAATAGGCCAAATCATGATTATTATCATGAGTGGTAATCATTATCGATATGATTATTAATTCATAACCATATCCCTCCTACTGCTGTTTAAAGCTCCTGAGAATAGACGCTGTGGCTTATATTTCCTATAGTAGGTCATCCCAACAGAAAACAGAAATTTTCTGCTAGGAACGGAAAGCTATGCACCTACAAATCATGTTGAAGTACACAGAAATCACTACAGAGATTTGTGAGCACACAGTATTAGTTTAACCTTTGTTGGGGGGGGGAATCAGTTCTTTTAAGTCTAAATTTGAGGGATAAAATCTAGCCTCATTGATGTTATATATTAGGGGTTAAAATGCTCACTAGCATTGAAAAATAATAAGGGGTAGAAACAATTCTTCAGGAGCATTCTATGAAATATTTAACCTAAATCCATTTATAACTGAAAGAAAAGGAACGAGCCAGGCACACTAATATGGGCCAATATGAGGGCTTGAACTCAGAGCCTGGGTGCTGTCCCCTGATTTTCTCTCTCAAACCTAGTGTTCTACCATAGATGCCAGACCTCCATTTCCAGACTTTTTGGTGGTTACATGAAAATAAAACAAGATTACCACCCTTGGCTCTATGCTGTTGTTTCCAAAGTAGAAAAGAAAAAGACAAAAAAAAATCCTAAGAATAAAATTAACCATAAAACCAAAGTCAGGAGGAGGCGCAGAGACAAGGCAAGGCAGGCTGCTGCCTTCCCACGGGGGCCGGCAGCAGGTAGCTCCACCAGTGTTTTGTTGAAGGACCACCGTATCTCATTACATACTTCCAAATGGGGTCCTGGTCAGAAAGGGGCTTTTAAGCTAAGGTATGGACAACCAGCATCACTCAGCCTGAGCCTTTCAAGCCCAGCCCGAGATCTTCCCTCACCCTAAGGTATAACCACTGCTCATACACAGCATGTGCGGAACCTGGAACATGACTGAGAGAACAAAGAACAGACATTCAACCAGGCTGAGGACTCATGGAGGTTCCTGTAACAACTTGCTGACTCCCATCTAGAACCACCATTTTATATCTTTATTTAAACAACTTCTCTAGTAACTGCTCTAGGAAAAACTAGTTGAATGAGCCATAACATTTTATTTAATTGTCTCATTTCTATTCTATTCCCTAAAGAGGAACAAGAAATACACTGTCAGGTATTATTTAATGGCACCTAAAGTAGCTTCAGCCTTAAGGTCAATGTTAGCCAAAGAAAACAGAGGTTTAAAAAAAGGATAACATTTAGTACTGCTTGGTTACCTATAATATGTAAATTTGTGAGAGAGGGGAGTTAGAAATTCATGACCACTATGCCAAAACAATAAGAGGGATCTGAACCGCAAATTATCCACCTCTTTCCCCTTGTGTCACTACCCTCACTGCTGAACTAAACATAAAACAAAAAAGAAAAGTTTTTGGCTCTGGAAGCTCACACCTGCAATCATACTGTCTCAGAAGGATGAGATCTGAGGATAGAGGTTCAAAGACCCACAAGAGGGTAAGTCATTGAGACTCTTATTTCAAAGTAACCAGCAAAAAGCCAAAACTTTCCAAGCACCAGTGTAATCCTAGCTACTCAGGAGGCTGAGATCTGAGGATCGAAGTTCAAAGCCAGCCCAGGCAAAAGTCCTTGAGACTATCTCCTTGAGCAAAAAAAAAAAAAAAAAAAAAAAAACAAAGAAAGCACCTGTAGAGCAAAATAAGTGAGAGGCAAAAAGAAAAAAAGAGCTGGAACTGGAAGCAAGTCTCAAGTGGCACCAGCCATAAGTGACAAAGTCCCATAAATGAGAGGAGAGGAATAGTGATAGAAGATGTACTGATTAAGATGCACTGTACTCATCAATTGGCATGTTGAATTGAAACCCCTTTCTACAACTTCTTAAAGATAATTTTGCAAAGGAAGGAAGGGGGATGATTAAAGAGGAAAATAAATCCATACATCGGCTCCCACTGAAATGATAGCTCAGTCTTATACACAGAGCTCTCTTATGTAAAACTTACCACATAGAAACCTAAGTATAGGTATATTACATTAAGCTAGCATAAGGCTGTGTGCATCTCCTTTATACCATGTCCTCTTCATCCTTCACATAGGTACCTTATCTATGTCTATGGATTTGGATATATCTCACAGAGCCCCAGGGACCTAAGGATATAATGTATAAGAACTCCAAGTCTTCAGTTAGACTTGCTTCTGTTATTATGACTACCATATAGGTTATTTTAGATCATCTGGGTGGTGAAACAATACGATCACATTCAGCAAGAAAATGTTGCTTTTACTTTATGTCATAAATGGAAGAATCAACAGGCACCTCTAATTTTAGTTTGACATCTTCTTTTGTCTTAGAAATGTAGTCTAAATTAGAGACGGCTGACTCCACTCCGCTGCAGTACTGCCCATAAATAACCAACCTGGAAGGGAAAAAGACAGAGGGAGAAATCCCTAAGATCAAAAGGAAGAATGAAGCAGTGGAAGAAAGAAGCAGAATGTACATCTCTTTAAAATCATGCGTAGGACCAGGCATAGCAACACATGTCCTGTACACAATCACAGAACTGTTGCTCATATAGTAATAAAAGATTCATTCTTAGTACTAAAATTGAATGGATCACATGCATTTTTATATCAAGTAGAATTTACAGTCTGCCTCAATAACTACTATTTGATTACATATATATTTTTGACTATAATGTTATATTCAAATATATAATATAATTATAATATATAACACTGTAAATACATTATTAATACCTACTAGCTGAATGTATTACTAAAATAATAAACATTGTTTAAGTACATATCAATATATAAAAGTTCATATATTCTTTTTCAGTTCCTATTAGAGATTAACCTGTGTGTTCGCATGTGCAATGTGTACACCGGTGATTACATGCTATACTGAGTGTCAGGACCTTGGGCTTGATAGGAAGGCACTCTACCAAGAAGTAAACTTTTTCATTTTATTGTGAAAATACTGTACAGAGAGGTTACAATTACATGGTCAAGATAATGAGTACATTTCTTATCAAGCATTGTAGCCTCCTCCTTTGTTTCCCCTTCCCATCCCTTCCCATCCTCCCCGGGTCTCCCCACCCAACCCTCCTCCCCCTCCCCCACCAAAGTTGTAAAGTTCGTTTTCGACATAACTTGTTTGTAATGTGCTGGTTCTGGGCCTGAATTCAGGGTCTGGGTGCTGTCTCTAAGCATTTTCTACCATTTGAGCACAGCTCAATTTCTAGCTTTGTGGTGATTAATTGGAGATAAGAATTTTATGGGCTTTCCTGTCAAGGCTGGCTATAAACCACAATTCTCAGATCTCAGCCTCCTAAGTAGCTAGGATTGTAGGCATGAGCCACCGGGGCCTGGCCCAAGAAATAAACGTTTTACTTTTGACTCATAATGAGCACAGTTTTATTTTTTACTGTAATTTTACTGCACTCACTATGCCTCCACTCATTAATAAACTCCCATTCCTTACTAGTTTTAATTAAGGAATATAAATCATCCAGCGAGCATGAATGAAAGGCTGAACTGTAAGGAGTAGGGACCTGTTTGTGCTGCATGTCCACAAAACAGATCATTTGCAAAAGCCCATTTGGTTTGTGATTCCTTTTAATTCTCTGTCAGAGGAAACTACTAATATACTGTTAATATTTATCTATAAGTTTAAGTGAAGTAATTCATAAGCAATTTCTTATTGCTTGAAAACATATTGCTTGAAATGAGGGAGCATTATATTATAAGCACATTTTCTTGACACCAATTCATCTGAGTCATTTAGATTTATTTCTGCATGTGTGTGCCAGTACTGGGGCTTGAACTCAGGGCCTGGTCACTATCCCTTGTCCTTGTCATCTACCAATGGAGCCACAGCTCTACTTTGGGTGCGTGCACATGCACGTGTGTGTGTGTGTGTGTGTGTGTGTGTGTAAGAGGTATTGATTAATGGAGCCACAGCTCCACTTTGGGTGCGTGCACACGCACGTGTGTGTGTGTGTGTGTGTGTAAGAGGTATTGATTAATGGAGCCACAGCTCCACTTTGGGTGCGTGCACACGCACGTGTGTGTGTGTGTGTGTGTGTGTGTGTGTGTGTGTGTAAGAGGTATTGATTTTCTGGCCTGGAGTGGCTTTGAACTGTGATACTCAGACCTCAACTTCTTGAGTAGTTGGGATTATAAGGGTGAGCCACAGGTGCCGGGCTCAGGAGCATATTTCAACCTAGAAAGGAAAACTTTTGACTGTGAATCAAATGTTCCAAATTAGAGGATCATAAAATATTAAGAGTTAGAAAGAGTGTTAGGTTCCAGCTAATCTATCCCCAACACTTCCATATGGGAAAAGAATCACTTAAGTGACACACAGCAGTAACAAGGCCTGAGAAAGAATCTCAGCCTTTTGATTGGCAAGGCAAATAATAGGACGCTGTACATTTTAAAATACACCTACACATATAAAGGTCAGACTACTGCCCCAAGAAGGCCTGTCCTATTTCCTAATCACTGTTCAAGTAGGATGGTAACACACAGTAGAAATAGCTCTTTATAAACTCTTTTAACACTAACCTTCACTATAATTCCAAACTAATACCCACAAATGTGTAAATGTGAATGTTACCTTTCCTTGTAGTTAATGAAAACTTGATATAAATTCTGGTCATTCTTATTTACAATGGAATCATGAATCTCTTGCATTAAGCTCCGATGGACTTTTACAAGTTCCTTAGAAAAGAAAACAATGTGAAAAAAGAGTCAGAACAACAACAACAACAAAACAGATGTCAAACCAATGATAGATACTGTTGCTAGATCCAGATATACTGAATATGTAATACCTGATCAAGAGAGGAGAGGAAGAGATAGATCCAGACAAGCAAGAAGTTAGAGGGAGAGGATAGAAAGGGAAAAGAAAGAGAAGAGGAAAAGGTACATGGAGACAGGAAGAGAGAAAAAGAGAGCTATGTGTGTAAGTATTTACACTTTCTCATCTGACTAGAGGTATCAGTTCCTATGGGAAAAAGTTATTTCACTAGTTACTAGAAGATCACTTATTTGTTGCATAAAAATTCATACAGCATTTTACAATCACTGTAAAGTCTTTAAATAAAACTACCCAAGTGCTTAATGGTTTATTGACAAAAATCAAGCAACAATTCATGGGGTTGGAACACAGAAATGTAAACTTATACTTTGGTCAATTAGTGATGCCCTGGTATTAAGCTAATAATAATCAGACTAAATTACTGATGATAAAAATAAGAAGCTGATAAATTGTACTAGACAGTTTACTACAGCAATTCCGAAGTCAGAACTTCACATTTTTCCTGGTAAGCAAGTAATTTTCAGCAGCCAGAAAACACAGACGGGACTTGAACTCACATTCTTTTTTTTTTTTGGGGGGGGGGTTCCGGTCGTGGGGCCTGAGCTCTGGGCCTGGGCGCTGTCCCTCAGCTCTTCAGCTCAAGGCTAGTGCTCTACCACTTGAGCCACAGCGCCACTTCCGGTTTCTGAATGGTTTATTGTTTGTGTGTGTGTGTGTGTATACAAAGCAAAGCCAGTTCTAGAGACCTAACCACTTGAATCTTGACTAACAGTGCCTCCTTTGGCATAGCACGTGGGTGGCTCGATTCTGTATTTCTTGGAAAATACCAAGCCTGTAAGATTATAAAATGACATAATTTTAAAATCCTTTACTTAAATGAAGAGAAAATCACAGGTTGCCATTAGATAGTCTGTTCAATGATGAGGAAGTGATGTCTCATTAAATGCAAGTTAGGACAGATACAATTGGAAGCAGAAACACAAAAGAGCAGAAGCCAAGGAAGCTGGTGAATGGAGGGAAGTGGTGGGCATCTCAGGGAGCTGGAGAAAGAAAACAGACAGACAGACAGACAGCACCAAGGATTAGCTAATTGAGACTGTCTCTTCATGGCAGCTAGCTATGGCTAAGCTATAATCATACTTATCCTTTTGTGTTCTGTGTTTCTTCCAATTGGTTTTTGGTTAAAGAGATAATGGATTGGCTTTTCAAGGAAATGGGTATAAGAACTGGAGAAGGAAAAAAAGGATTCAAATTCTTAAAGAATCCAAGAGAATGCTTGAGTAAGAATCTGCAACCCATTAAGCAACTGAGGATTTTATAGAAGCACGTCACAACTGTAGCTATATGGTGCGCTTACTCACAGGAATGTTGATGAAGACTGAATCAAATTCCGCGGCTGTCAGAAACCGTTTCAAGGGTGCCATGAAATACTATCAAGAGAGAAGAGGGAAATAATAATGAAGCATAACTTGATCGACTCTTCATGATCTTTTTTTTCCATCAACAAATAACAAGTATTTTACTGAAGTCAATTGTTTATCAGCATTGTAAGTACAAAAAACAGTAGGAACTATTTTCTCTGTCTTAAGGATTTTACAGTTGGAGAATGGATATAAATATAGGCTAACTTGTTTAAAATATAAAATCAATTTTAGACAATAAGTACTTCTAGAGGAGGGAGGGGAGTGGGAAGGCATGGAGAGAGATAAGGAGGGAAGCAGGGAGGCAGAAAAAAGAGAGAGGGTGGGAGGAAGGGAGGGAAAGAGAAAGGAAGAGAGGGAGGCAGAAAAAAAGAGAAACAGGGAGAGAGGAGGAGGGAGGGAGGGAAGAAAGGAGAAAGGAAGGGAGACAGGACTACTGGCCAAATTAGTCAAAAACATGAATATTCTGGAAATACATTTGGAGACTAAGAAAACATGCCTCAAGACATCGTAAAGACTCTTGAGATCAATGATATGTTCATGTGATTTTATGTATCATTTCCCTTCATCCCTTGAGAATTTCAGTGCGTTTTCTTTAGTTTAAATTTTATTGTAAAGGTGATATACAGAGGAGTTACATTTACATGAATCAGGTAATAAATATGTTTCCTTTGAACAGTGTCACCCCCTCCCTCGTTCTCTCCCAGTTTTTCTCCTCCCCCAAAATTGTGTAATTCATTTCCAACGTAGTGTCTAGTGGTTTTCACTGTTGAACTGATTCACCGTTTAATTTCAGTATCTTATAAGTGGATATCAGGGGATCATAGTTAAGGCCACCATAAAACGTTTTTGTTGTTGTTGTTTTACAGAACATCATCTCATCCAAGAGCTGGACCGGTCGGTGTACACCTTTCATCCCAGCCATAAAGGAAGCACAAGAGCTGGAAACAGTGGCACATAGGAGGATTGCAGCCCGGGCTATCCCAGGTCATAAACCAAGATCCCTCCCCCTTCAACACACATGTACATACACACACACACAAAAACCACCTAGTGTCAGTGCCAGTAGCTCACACCTGCAATCCTAGCCACTTAGACAGCTGAGATCTGAAGATCCCAGGGAAAAATAAATCCAAGAGACTATTATCTCTACTTAACCAGCAAAAACAGACAGTACAGAGGTGTTGCTCAAGTAGTAGAAGTCCAGCCTGAAGCAAAAAAGCTAAGTAAGAGTGTGAGTTCGGGCTGGGAAGGTGGCTCAGTGGTAGAGCGCTTGCCTTGCATGCATGAGGCCCTGGGTTCAATTCCTCAGCACCACATAAGCAAAAAAGAAAAAAGCCAGAAGTGGCGCTGTGGCTCAAGTGGTAGAGCGCTAGCCTTGAGCTGAAGAGCTGAGGGACAGCACCCAGGCCCAGAGCTCAGGCCCCATGACCGGACCCCGCCTCTGCCCAAAAAAGAGTTTGAATTCAAGTCCCCCAGTACTGGCACCAAAAAAATGGACCTACACATGAGACATGTGGTAGCTATCTTCCCATTTCTTTTAAATGTCAGTTCTACAAAAATTAGAATCACTTCACACAGCAGAAACAAGGAGTTGAGCGTATTAATTACATTAGCACCTAAGAATGACTTACTTTTTCTATTGACTCCAAAGTTTCTGTATATTTTTCTTCTGTCTGCTTAATTTCTGCTAGGCAACAACTCCGTATATCATTTTCTGGACATTTCTGCAGTTAGGATAGAAATAAAATGATTTAATCAAATCATATGTCAATCTACCCGGTACTATGAAGAAAGAGAACACAATCATTGCTTGATTGTCTTAAATTTTCACTGGAATAAAAAAAGCTAACTGAAAGATATACTTAAATACACTTGTATCTTTGCAGTTTTCATAAATTTTTTGGACAATGTAAATTAGAAAGTTTTAGGTGATTAAGGAAAAGCTTCCATCAGAGGACAGTAAATCAGGCCTGGAATACTAGAAGGTTAAGAACAGGAGAATTTGGGGTCCAGGGCAGCCCAGGCAGAAAAGTTCCTAAGACCTCCTTCTCAATCCATAGCTAGGTGTGGTGGTACATGCCCATCATTCTAGCTCTATGGAAAGACTAGATCAGTATGATCAAAAGTTCCAGGCCTCCTCAGGCAAAAAGTCCACTGGAAGAAGGTGGGCAAGGTGGTACATGACTGATATCCCAGCTGTGATGCAAAGTCTAAAATAGGCTGATCATGGTCTATGTACATACACAGGTAGGAAACAAGGACACTATCTCAAAAATAACTACCACTAGAAAGGGACAGAAGTCTGTCCCCCTCTGCTAGCAAGCATGAGGCTCTGAGTTCAAACCTCAGGACTGACTAAGATAAATAGATGATAGATAGATAGATAGATAGATAGATAGATAGATAGATAGATAGATAGATAGATAGATAGACAGACAGACAGACAGACAGACAGACAGACAGACAGACAGACAGATAGATAGATAGATAGATAGAACAAGTTTCTGAGTATAGAAATTTTCCCTTAAAAATATCCTGTACAAATGTCATTAACTTGGAAATAGTACAAGAATTTCCTTAAGGTACAGTATATTGTACATATATTATAGAAATAATTATTTTAAAAATATTTAAAAGATGAGGAGTAAAAGTCAAATATTTTTCCAACATCCACATCTATGTGGTTCTTTCCCTGGGTGTGTTGAGACTGAAGTAGGCAGAGCACCATACCAGGATCAAGGATTCCGGGCTACAAGGAAGAAATTGGTTCAAGTACTGGATTTGCTGTTATTAGCTCCCTAACTGTGAACAAGCTCACCACGTTTCTTCATGAAGCAGCAGCTCTAAAGGACAGAATCCTCATTAAGTACTCTGCACCTGGCCAGGCACTGTAAGTTATTGTTATTGCTAACTCTATCCTGTCCACATAGAAACCCAGCGCTGCCAGCAGGGTGAAGCCTGTCCTCAAGAATACAGATGTGCTGGCACCAAGGCAATTGACAACTGCAGGAGGTACTGACAATGCTCATCATCTAAAATCTCTCTGAAAACGCTGCCATGGTGACCTGTCTGCTCACGCGCTAAGTGACACCACACGTTCATTACACTTCCCCCTGCACAGGCTGGATCACTTGTTCTTACCCACAGAGATGTCTGCTGCCCACCAGCCCTCAATCACAGGTCAGAGCAGAGCGTGGAGCCCCACCCACCAAAGCTCTGAAACCCCCTGCATGTCCCACCCAGAGGATGGAGAAAAGTCTTCTGATAAAGGAGGATGTGAACAAAACCTACGTAAATGACTTCTTCATATTTCAAATTCTAAGATAGTGCTAGATACATTCACAGCAGATAAAGTTTAGAAGACACTAACTGGCTATCACTGCATGTGATTCTCGGATTCTAACAAGAGGGAAAAAGCCTACCAAAATCACCTAGCAAATGGGAAGATATTCTCTTTAACATATTTTTTTTTTCTGGTGGAGGTTCTGGGGCTTGAACTCAGGGCTTCATGCTCTCATTTGGCTTTTTTTTTTTTTTAATCAAAGCTAATGCACTAGCACTTGAATCATACCTCCACTTCCATTTTTGCTGGCTCACTGAAGAATCTCAATGACTTTCCTGCCCACACTGGCTTTAAACCAAGACTGTCAGATCTCAGCCTTCTGAATAGCTAGGATTACAGGCATGATGCACAGGTGTTCTGCTTTATATTAAATTTAAAGAGGGGAAAGTGGTCTGTTTTGCAAGAGGTTTGCTTCCTTAACAGTATAATTTCATGATCAACTTAAACTATATTCTACAACCCAACCCTTCTGCCATTGTTTAGCTAACTGGCCTGCCATGTACCATAAAGGTATACATACTAACATGAAAGGATCCGACCAGAGATTCCTATGGTTGTTTTGAACTATAAATATCATGCTCATACCTCCAGACACAAAAGTGAGTCACAGTAAAGTTATGAGCAAGCAAAAAGTAAAGGAAATGAAAAAGTGTAACAATGAAGTGAACTAATCTTTTGACTCATCATTTTGCTAATAAAATACCTAGAGTCACTTTAAGAACAAATAAAAGTGGGTAGGGATGGAGGAAAAACTGGGACAGAGCAAGGGAAGGGGTGACATTGCCCCCAAAACAAATGTACTCTTACTTACGTAACTGTAACCCCTCTGTATATCACCTTTATAATAACAATAGAATCTTTTTAAAAGAACAAGTAAAAGTCATACAGGTTGGTGCGGTTCCTCTGCTTTCATTAAGTCCTCGTATACTTCTCCCCCTTCATCTTCTCCATAAACACAGTCATAGAGATCTTCTTCATCTGCCACTCGGGTTTCACTAAAACAAAGAATACAACATGTAACATCATTTGCGGCTATTGCATAATAAATGCATGATATAGAACAGCCTGCTAGGTTTTAGAGAAGAACAGAATGGAAGTTTTCCCCTTGATTGCCAGAGAAGCCAGAGAGGAAGAAGAATAGCATTGTGTGAAGCGCTGAAAGACTTTCCCACTGGCTCTGTCCCTTCAACCACAGAACTTAACAACCAAACCACAGAACTTAACAACCAGAGCGACGGTAACCAACACTTCCTAGTTAGTTACTTTTATAGAAACTCAAAAATGACTCATCTGTAGATTTTTCTCTCACCTAATTCACCCAGCATTAATTGTCTTATCTGGTATCCTTTGGCATTTTGATCTACTAAGACAAGCTGAGAAGTTATGAAATCAAGTGGTTGATTTCTCCAAGATCACACAGCTAGTGAATAGCAGAGCCATGGGTTAAAACCAAGTCCTTTTATAACTATGAGTGTTTTAATCACTTCTTCATATTGTGTCCTACCTCTGTATCACAATCCATCTTAATGGGTATGATATGGAGAAGCCAGGAGAGTTAACAAACATCTAAAATATTTTTAGCTGGGTTCCCTGGCTTACATCTGTCATCCTAACTACTGAGGAGGCTGAGATAGAAGAATTCAGGTTTGAAGCCAGCCAGGGCAGCAAAACCAAACAGACAGTTATATATAGTTAACCAACAAAAACCTAGAAATGGATCTGGCTCAAGTGGCAGAGCATCAGCTTTGAGTGGGAAAAAAAAAGTCAAGCAAGAACACAAGACCTTGAGTTCAAGCCCCAATACATCTACTGAATGAATGAATGAATGAATGCGTGCATCAATTGATGTTGTTAAATAGAATGGTCATTTTACAGCATTAGTTGCCGCAAAGTTATTATCAATATCTAGTATCTACCGACTTTCAAAACAATTTCTTTCAGGCCTCCCTCCAACACTCATACTCTACTTTTGTTTTTTGTCTGGGTTTTTTTTTTTTTTTTTTTTGCATTTTGTTTAAAAGACCAAAAGGGCAGGGCCCTTAAAATCATTAAAAGTCTCACTATATTTGATGTCAATATAATTTGTGGAGGAGAAGGGGAAAAACAAGTCGTTTAAGGATACAGGTGGACCCATTGCAACAATGAGATGTACAAGTTGTCATGTCGAAAACGAACTTCACAACTTTGGTGGGGGGGGGAGGATTGGGTAGGGGGGCTGGGGGAGGCAGGGAAGGGATGTGAAGGGTAAACAAAGGAAGAGGCTGCAATGCTTGATAAGAAATGTACTCATTATCTTGCCCATATAATTGTAACCCCTTCACAATAAAATAAATAAATAAAAATCATTAAAAGTCTATTTTAAGACCATTTGTGTCTTTCTTCTGGTCTCCTGGTAGCTAAAAATAATCCCTACTTGTTTATTTTCTTTTTTTAATTTATTTTTAAATTTTATTGTCAAGGTGATGTACAGAGGGGTTACAGTTACATAAGTAAGGTAGTGAGTACATTTCTTGCCGAACTTGTTACCCCTTCCTTCATTTTTCTAAAAGTTATGGTAAAGTTGTTGTACAGAGGGGTTGCAGTTACATGCGTAAGGTACTGAGTACACTCCCTGTCGAGCATTGTTACCCCCTCCTTTGCTTTTCTCCTACTATTTCTTCCCTCCCCTACCTCCCCCTTTCCTCCCCACCTAAAGTTGTAAGGTTTATTTCCAACATAGTTCTTGTAAGTCTCATTGTTGCAATGGGTCATCCTGTGTCCTTGTTTCAGCATTTTGTTATTCCCCTCCCCTTCCCCAAATTAGATAAATGTATAAACAAGATGCAAGGTACCAAAATCAAATACAGTGACAACAGGGATATATCACAGGGGGAAGAACATACAAAAGAAACAAAGAAAAAAATCACATAGGACATTAAAAAACAACAACAACAAAGAAAAACCTCTTGTGTCCATATACACCCTACTTTTCAAGCTTCCTTGATTGACTTCCCCTAGCTCTTTGTGAGAGATATGAATCCATTCAGTCAACATGCTCTGCTACAACCCTAAGTCTCTCCTTAAGGACAAAGTTCAAGACTTCTGTATATCCCTTCTACTAATAATTCCACAGAAGGGAATCAACCTGTAGACATGTTGGAAAGAAACAAAATTCAACTTCTCCAGTGGTGCCCCCCCTGAGCACCTCTCCTGTACCTGAGCAGACAAATTGTTAGATGAACAAAAGTAAAAACAAGGTAACTGTAAATATCACTCTGTAACTTGGGACATGGTTCAAAGCAGGTTTACAGGATTGTTTGTCACCAGTGATTATTTGGAGGTACTTGAGAAGAATGAACTGTCAAATACCCAGAGAAAAGGAAAGTGTATTAAGGGGCGAGATCTGGCAGTTAATAGAAGCTTCAGAGAAGTCTGCTCTGAGAAAAATTCATTTCAGAGTCCACCCGCTTTCCCACCCCACCATCCATCCAATTGATATTCACTAAACCTCAAGTGAGCTCCAGGTTCTCCTGTGTTCAGAATGCATAGAGCAAGAACTCTCCCATTCAGAGGTATGGAGAGCAGCCCATACATACACATTTAATTTTGAACATGCAGCAAGAGAGATGAAGAGTAAAGAATAAGAGCAAAAAAAAATAACTCTGAAGAATCAGGGAGGGCTTCACAAATCTGGGTCTTGAGTTGGCATATTCCCCGGGAAAACAGGAGTACAGACAAAGCAGGTGCACGCTCTGCCTGCACAAACCTTGCAGATCAACAGGTGTGGCACACACCCAGATTGAATGAGAAAGATGGATGGTATGTACGCCAAAGAACATTCACACATGCAAAGGTAGAGTGAGAAGAGCCTGGTGTCCCCCACCCCTTGGTGATACCAAACTGTCAAGGGCCATGCACTCTCTGAGTCTGGTGTTACCCTGGTCATTTGGGAATCAACAGTGTGTATTATGCAAGCGTAGGGATAGTCTGGAGCAGGGAGTAACAGATAAAGAAGTCAGTGGCACTGTAAGGATTTGACACTTGTACATAGGGTAAAGACAGGTAAGAGGAACACAGAGACTTAAGATGGTGTCTTGAGCTAGGGACTGGTGGCTTATGCTTGTAATCCTAGCTACTTAGGAGGATCATGGTTCAAAGCCAGCCTGGGCAGAAAAGTTCATGAGACTCTGATCTCCAGAAAATCAGAAGTGGAGCTATGGCCCCAAATGGTAGAGTGCTAGCCTTGAGCAAAAAGAGCTCAGGGGCAATAACCAGGCCCAGAATTCAAGTCCTACAACTAGCTGACAAAAAATAAATAAAAGATAGTGTCTTGATGACCAGTTGGACATTATGGAGAGAGAAGGAGTGACAGATGTCTCTCAATTTCTGCTTTGGAAATCTGAGTTGATGGGCAGCCATATTGCAGTTCCAGGGGTTCCATGTTGAAAGGTTCTGGCCAGGGAACAGTGGGGGTAGTTATGTGGGGTTTTATGGTTCTGTAACACACAGAAGGACAGCAAGGCCTGGTGAGACCATGGAAGAGCTAAGATAACAAAGCAGGAAGGACTTGATTGTAATGGAACTCGGTGTGCTACAAAGGAAAATGGTCTGTGACGTTCATTCTATGGTGGTTTCCATCCCAGTGATCCTGCCACTAGCTTCCAACACCACTTTCCCAACTTAGATCCTGTCTACAAACATGGGTGAGAAGAACACAATGGGAGAGGCCTTTAAAATCCATAAGTAGGGGTGACCATGACTGGTGTTTTAAAAAGGATATTATCAGGGACGTGGAACTACCTTCTTCCTAATACTTGGAGAATGGGGGTGGGGGGAAGGACTAAAAACAAATCCAATCTTTTCCAGTCACTTTCTAAAGACTGTGGGCAATTGAATGGACGAATCCCCATCCATCTTGCCTTAGGTCAGTGAGTTCTTAGGGGTTTTATGGAAAGATAAGAAATGACTCTTGGAAGTAGAGATATAGCTCAAGAAGGAGAGCATCAGCCTTGAGCAAAACAAGCTAAGTGAGAGTGCCAGATCTTGAGTCCAAACCCTAGTACCAGCCCAAAAAACTACTCTTAATAGCTACTTGGAAAAATAAGACTGCCAGGCCGTTCCCAATGCTGCCTACTCGAGAAAGAGCAGCTGGCCCTCCATCCCGGGGCTGTGGGCAGGACTCACCTCTCTCACTGTTCTATTGGGCACTCTCAGATGTAAAGCTTCCACTCCAGAATAAGGAATGACTGGGCTCCAGTCCAAAGATTCCCTTCAGCTAGTGACTTCACCTTTCAAATTGGTTTCCTTCTTTTGATTTTGAGGCAACACAAGGAATATAATAATGTAGTGGTATTAGATGAGATAGTGCATCTAACATGGGTAGTACACAAAACAGGCACTCAATAACCTCTTAATTGACCAGCTAGCTCAATACTGAAGCATAATGCCTGGTGAATAGTATATACTTAATGTAAAATATTGACTTACTCACTCACTCATCTGTAGGGGACCTACTAAGCACAGATACTGTTTGAAGCACTAAGAATACCTTCAGGAGCACAGTTAAGTTCCTGATTTCACAGCTCACCTTCTGATAGAATACAGTCCACCTGGAAGCAATCCCAGACTGCCTCAGGCAATGCTTTGAAAATATTTTTAAAACTTTGAAAGCAGGTGGGTGGTGCAAGTTTCTTTTTTAAAATTTTTATTTTTATTATAAAGGTGATGTACAGAGAGGGGTACTGTTACGTAAGTCAGGTAATAAGTACCTTTTTTTTTGCCAGTCCTGGAGCTTGAACTCAGGGCCTGAGCACTGCCCCTGAGCTTCTTTTGCTCAAGGCTAGTGCTCTACCACTTGAGCCACAGCACCACTTCTGGCCTTTTCTGTGTATGTGGTATTGAGGAATAGAACTGAGGGCTTCATGCATGCTAGGTAAGCACCCTACCACTAAGCCACATTCCCAGTCTTCTGAGTACATTTCTTTTAGAACAGTGCCATCTCTTCCTTCATTTTTTTCCTTTTTTTTTGGGGGGGTCCGGTCATGGGGCCTGAACTCTGGGCCTAGGCGCTGTCCCTCAGCTCTTCAGCTCAAAGCTAGTGCTCTACCACTTGAGCCACAGCGCCACTTCTGGCTTTTTTCTTATGTGGTGCTAAGGAATCGAACCCAGGGCCTTGAGCATGCAAGGCAAGCGCTCTACCTCTGAGCCACCTTCCCAGCCCCCTTCATTTTTTCCCATTTTCCCTTCCAACCCCACTCCCCCACAAGCTGTATAGTTCATTTTTAACCTAGTGTCTAGTGAGTATCACTGCTGAATTAGTTCATCCTTTGTCTTACCATTTCTCTGCTTCCCCTTCTACTCCCCAAATCAGATAAACTTACATGCAAAAAGCAAAGACATCAAAAAGAGCAACAAAAGGGGGACAACAGCCACAATAACAAAACACAGAAAGTAAAACAGGGGGGCCAGGGAAGGTCTCTTCGTGGAGGGACAACAAGCAAAAGATCTGCACCAAGTAGTAGCCCGCTGCTTGATGGATGCGGATGAATTTCCATAGACTCCTTGAATCTCTTTGCAAACACGCCTGATCTATGTCATCAGCTCTTTCAGGAGTGGGGATCATGTCCTATATTTATTTGTAATCTACAAGAGTCACTCAATCAGCACAAGATAATAAGCTGCAAAGGACCTTCTGCCTCTGCTGACTACTAAGTAAGAAAGTCCCTGAGGATGCTCTCTTCAGAATAAACACGGGGTTCTGGAAGATTCCCAGCAACTCCAGCAGCACTTAACGCTGGCTTTTCCTGAGCTACCTGTCCCACATTTTCTGTAGTAGAATATATTTATTTTTAATTATTTCCTAATTATTCCAGTCCAGTCTTAACTACTCCTCTACTATGCCTTTAAAAATGTTTCAGTTTTACTCCATTTCAATGTTTCTATACTGGGCATGGGAACACAGAACCCAGGATAGGAATTAAAAAACACTGGAACACCAAGTTCCTTGCAAACACAAAACGTTCTTCCTTTCTTTGTCTGGAGAGAGAGAGAGAGAGGGTACTGGGGCTTAAAATCAGGGCCTAGACACTGTCCCTTAGCTTTTTGCACAGGCTGGTGCTTTACCACTTGAGCCATACCTTCTCATTGGGCTTTTTGCTACCTAATGAGAGATAAAGAGTTTCATGGACATTCCTGCACAAGCTGGCTTCCAACCAGGATCCTCAGATCTCAGCTTTTTATGGATCTAGGATGAAAGGCTAAGAAAACAGGCATGAAGCTCTGGTGCCTGGCTGGAATATGTTTCTTGTAACATTCCATCACCAGTTCTAGTTTAATCCTTACTCTCCTTCCTGGTTCAACCACATGCAGCCTTCAGAGAATTGTCTTAATGCCCACAGTTAACACACACACCGGATGCACAAAACTGTCAGTGGTTTCATTCTGATGAAAATGTTTAACATACTCTATTAAGTCGGGAAGGCCTTTGTAGATGTCTTCATCATTAACACTTTCTTCTGTCGGGAAGGGTCTAGAAGAGAAAAGAACACAGATGAATGAGCACCCAAGCTGAGTGCCTGCCTCTCAGTAACTATGAAACCCATCAGTCACCGGGTCTCATGATGTTGAGGCTTCCCTGTGAATGAAGCTCCAACACCTGTGCCCTCAGCCATAACAGCTGGCCACACACACACACACACAGGCCACTGGGGTCAGGCCAACGTGCTGCCCACTGCCTCAGACCTGCAGGCTCTCACTGCAGTGCCTGGGTGCACAGAACCGCAGCTATTTTGGCCTCGCCTCTGCAGCCTCTCTCCTGCACTGGCAGGTCAGATCCCATAGTTCACTTGGAAATGATCATCCTTTGCAAACTCAGTTCACTATTACAGCTGAAAACCATTAGCAGCCTAACACTCCTATCCCTTCTGGAAGATTCCCAATGGTGGCATGTTTTTCCACTTAGTTAACTTGTATTTTTCAGGGTTTTTGTTTTGTTTTGTTTTGTTTTGTTTTTGACAGATCAATCATCCAAACTTCAGAGAAAAAATAGGGCATTTTCACTGATTGCTGTTAAAAAAAATCACAATTTAATTTCTCTTGTGCCTCCCCCATGGGCTTCTCTCTGGATCTCTTTCTTCTCTCTTCTCTCTCTCTCTCTCTCTCTCTCTCTCTCTCTCTCTCTTTCTCTTCCCTCTCTCTCTCCTTCATTTTCTCTTGCTCCTTTACTGTACACTGGTATAGGGTACCCAGTACCCTGGTTCTAGGACTTGAATGTGAGGTCTGGGTGCTGTCCCTTAGCTTTTTCACTCAAGGCTGGCACTCTTCCACTAGAGGCACACCTCCACATCCAGCTTTTAGTTGGTCAATAGAAGGTAAGGCCCATGGATGTTCCTGCCCAGGCTGGCCTTGAACTGATAGCCTCAGATCTCAGCCTCCTGAGGAGCCAGGATTACAAGTGTGAGCCATCAGTACCTGGTCCACTTCAACTTCTTTGTTTTACCCAATTGTACTATAATTGGTCTTTGGTAAGACCAATATGATAAGCCTAAATTTATTCCTAACAAGATAACAAGGCATTTTACTATTTCTTGTGTAAAGAGATCATGTCATATGTTCCATCAAAGAGGAGCCATCAAAACATTAACCCTTAAATAATTACTACTTACATTAAAAAGCACACTTTTATATTGATGTATCTAATATGCAACATAGTAAGGAACCTATATTTTGCAAATAAATCTACACAAATGAGAAACACCAAGACTTCAAAATCACTTTGTAAAATTTGGGCACATTTTGTTACATACATTGTAGACATCTATAGACCAATACAGAAAATATACATAAATACCAGAAAAAAGACTTATATCATCATATATATCATATACATATATATAAGTCATAAATATATGCATCCTTTCAAAATCAAAAGTATATACATAACAATTACATCATGCTTCATGATCAAAATTGACCACAAACATGTAAAATATATTTACACACATATATGTATATGTGTGTATATATATATATATATATATATAGTCACAGGAAGATATTCATTGTTGAAGAGGGAGTTAGGAGCTTAAGAAGAACAATAAAATTGTATTTTTTAGATACAATGAAAATCCATTCCATTTCTATGCAGCTTCTGTGTTACTACTGAATCTATTTTTCTTTGTTTCCTAATGTTGCTCCGAGGACATCATTACTGACTACTGTAACTTAAGTATTGAAGCAGAACAAGCCTCAAGCAAATACATATCTGTACAAATGCACATGCTTACTAACTGCAGAATGCTCCACTGCAGAGAGATGGTATGATTTCGCCCATTTATCTGCAGGTCTGTCAGGTATTGGCATACCTTCAATGCACATTCTTTTTTTGGGGGGGGGATCCAGTCGTGGGGCCTGAACTCTGGGCCTGGGTGCTGTCCCTCAGCTCTTCAGCTCAAGGTTAGCACTCTACCACTTGAGCCACAGCGCCACTTCTGGCTTTTTTCTTTTTGTTATATGGTGCTGAGGAGTCGAACTCAGGGCCTCAGGCATGCAAGGCAAGCGCTCTACCACTGAGCCACCTTCCCAGCCCTCAATGCACATCCTTGTACATGCAGCATTTCATACATGTTTGATTCGTTTTTAAACTACTAATTTTTTAAAATTATTATCATGACCTCCTGGATAGTAAGTAAACATATTATAAGGTACTTTGAAATACTTAAGTATCCAAGAATTTGTGTTTGTCTTAATAAATCCTATGTACAGAAATGTTGGAGAAATTTGTTTTGAAAGCAATCTGAGAATGGTACATTACAAGTGCATTCCTACAGTATCACTGCTGAGGAGGCTGGGACAGGAGAATCATGTGTTCAAGGCCAGCCTAGGCTATGTTGTAAGACTCTGTCTCAAAAACACACAAAGAAATTCTAGCTACTCAGGAGGCTGAGATCTGAGGATCAAAGCCAGTCCAGGGTAGGAAAATCCATGAGATGCTTATCGCATGGGTTCAAGTGGTAGAGTGCTAGTCTTGAGCACAAAAGTTCAAGGTCAGTGCCCAGGCCCCAGAAAAGTAAGATAAAATAAAATAAAAACAACCACAGAAAGGAGAGAAGCCATGCCAATGATAGTCCCCATTAACTTCAGAACCATAAGCCACTTGAGGTTATATGAATATGTTATTATTTGCTCAGTAAAATTTATATGTGCATTTCACACTTACCTACCAGTCACTCTTCATAAGTGAGTGAACTAAACAAGATAGAATGAACCACAAAGAAATGAAATTACCTGATTCCTGTGGCCAATGCTATAGGTGTTCGAGAAAGTCGAGACAATGTTTCTATAACCTGAAGAAAGAAGAAAATGTTCATTGGGCATGTGTTTTAGAAAATTCAAAGCAACAGTTTTCCAATTCAAAATTAACAATGGTAGCAGATTGTCAGTTTACAGGTGTCAAAGAAATAGCGAATGGGTACAGCCATGATTGGGAACTAGAAATCCCTACTTTATGATTGCAAAGAGGAAATTACTAAGCTGCCCAAGAAAAATAAGGAGTTAACCTAGCTCATCCCAAACGTCTACTTCTATTGCAAAATCTGGAAGGTCACAGGAACTTGTGTTCTCTGTTATAACACCCACTGTCTAGAGATGGCCACATTTGTTAAAAGCTAAAAACAAGCTGGGCCCAGGTTGCTTACATCTGTCATCCTAGCTACTCAAGAGGCTGCCACCAGAGGATTGTGGTTCCAAGCCAGCCCAGGCAGAAAAGTCTGTGACTGTGAACTCCAATTAAGTACCAAAATGCTAGAAGTGAAGGTGTGGTTCAAGTAATAGAGCACCAGCCTTAAGCAATAAAATAAAATAAGTGGCCCGAGTTTAAACCCCAATATATATATATTGGAATATATATATATATATTCCAATATATATATATTGGAAATATATATATATATATATATATATATATATATACAACATTGAGGTTTTTAGTTATTGTGGCCACAGTTCAAGTGTAGCAACCATGTGTACTGTATTAGACTACACAAGTATAAAATATTTCTATCACCACAAGAAGCATTGACATAGAGAAAAATGGGTTAGAGTGAGAGAGCTCTTGAACCAGACCCCAGGAGTTCAAATCCTGCCTTTTCTACTAACTAGTCAGGCAACTTTGAGCAAGTCATCTAACTTCTCTGGCTTTTATTACTTCATGTACAGAGTGCCTCTCTTAATAGTTAACTAATAATCATTAGACTAGTGTGAGGATTAAATAACACACTTAAAATATTTAAATGGTAGCAATTCCTTATAATCACCAACTTGAAGAAAATTGCTTTATTCTGAGTGTTTCCAAGAAAAAATGTTCCCAAATTACTCTTTATTATCTATTTCAAAGATTCCTCCTGCAGATCACATAAGTATGGAAACCTAAGTGTGCCCTGCTGCAGATTTACTCACATTTCTGCACATCAAGTTTACTCCTCCTGCAGTCTTTAGTACTAAGATCATTTTCACCACTTACTGAGAGGCCAGTCACCTGATATGAATTTTTCCCATCAACTCAGTTCTCAGGATGACACAGATAAACTTGTCCTAACTCTCAAAATTAGGCAAAACAAAATTTAAAAAGGTTCTGTTTATAGCCTATTCAAAGTTGCAAAAATTGTAATCCATCTCCTTTCCATCTAGCCCAACAGCTGGGGGGAGAGAACTCATAAAGGGGAGAAGAGAGAATTTATATAGCTTGAGTTGCTACAAAAATGGCCACCAGAGGGAGCCAGATGATAGTAGATTAGTTTAACAGCATCATCAACTGCTTTTAAGGGCAAATGTGAAAATCAACCAGCTAAAACCAAGTCCTAGTCACTGATCTATGAAGCTTATTTATTATTACTCAATAATATAAAGGTAACAAAGTTAATAATTCAGGAATAAACAACAAATGGACAAAAAGAATGCAGAGTATCTTACAGTGAGTCTCTGTGAGAATGATCACTCAGATTTATAGCTCATTTCTTTGTACATAAACGCTAAGTTGAGCCAAAACAAATGGAGACTGTGTAGTCAGTGTGGTATTTTCAGAATAACATACATCCTCTAAAGGGCTATTGTTTCCAGATTTGGAACAGACAAATATATAAATTCATGTCAGATTCTCAAATTGTGTGTATGGAGTCCCTGACTAAAATATCCCAGAAAAAGTATTCATAAAACCAAAAGCATTTTAAAAGCTATAAATTAATTAGTACACTTAGATCAAAATGATAGGAAATTGTGAATATTAATTCCAGATAAGGAGATGAGTTGGTAAAAATACTTTTACAAGCAAATTGGCCAATAACCAACAACCCCAAATCCACGTCATGAGATTTCCTTCCTTCACTCAGTTACCTCAGTGACTAAGACCAATGACCTTGGAAAACAAATAGATATCATTCTAGGTGACCTAAGTCATATTTGCTGGGTGAACGAGGACGGAAGGGAGATCAAGGCTCCTCATGGTTGTTCACAAAGTGAGCATCCTATCCCAGAGGGGGAAAAAATCCTTGAGGAAGTTTAGAAAATGAAATGACAGCTTCTACATTGTAGTTTGGAAAGATAACTTGGCAATGTGAAGAGCAGAGTAGGAGAAAGCACACGAAGACCAGACAGACAGGAGGACAAGTAGGAGGTTGGCTCAAGGGTCCCCGTGAGAATGGAGGAGTGGGGATGAGCAGCAGGGGTGAGGTGGTGAGGCTGGGAAAGGAAAAGGTCTTTGGGAACAGGGTTGAGCTCCAGGAGGCCAAGAAGGAAGCAGAAAACCCAGAACAACTTGTGTGATCAATGAAAGCACTAACAGGGGCTTATGGGGTGCTTCTGAGCAGCAGTTCTGCCTCTTTCTCCCTCTGCATGGCTGACAGGTCCAGCCCAAGCTCAGCAAGGATGTCTGCTTCTCCAAGGAGCCTTCTCCAACTCTCTCCAGTCCCCCAGCCTGGGCTGTGTCCCCGTAAGACCCAGGATATGACTCTGTCCGAGCACCTACCCATTTATTTAAAAAAAAAAAAAAACCTTTTTAAAGGCCTTTGAAAAATATTTGGGTACTGGTGGCCCATGCCAGGAATCTTAGCCACTTAGGAAGCTGAGATCTGAGGAGTAAGGTTCAAAGCCATCTCAAGCAGGCAAAACCTCAAGACTCTTATCTCCAATTAACCAGCAAAAAGCCAGAAGTGGAGCTGTGACTCAAGGAGTAGAGTACCAGTCTTGAGCAGGAAAGCTAAGGGAAAATATCCAGACTTTGAGATCAAGCCCCAGTACCTCAAGAATGTGTTTATTTCTCCAAACTAAAATAATATGTGAATCTATAAAATGTGTCTCCTTCCCACCTTTCCCACTTTCTGTCTACAAGGAGTGACAGCTGAGAATCTGGTGACCTGTTGCAGATTTTTTTTCTTTTCTCTTCTTTATGCTTGATTTTTAATTAATAAGTTGCTATTCTTCAGATTTTTTTCCTAAGGTATTCCTAAAGTATGATGATACACACCTTCGTCACAACACTATACGTGTCACTTTGCATGTGTCTACTTGATTTACTCTGCTGTTTTGTACCACTCCAGTGTTTGTAAACAGATGAACAATTCTGCCATTTTGCTGTCAAATATCTTTTTCCACCTTTTGCTGCAAAACCTGTGCTTACCCTCCTTCCCACATATTCTTTCTAGTGTGCGGGCATTGCTATGGGAATAATTATTAATTGGGGTGGCTAAGACAAAAGAAATGAGACATGCTCTTCAAACTATCTACAGGAATTTAGACCCCTAAAGAATCCACAAGAACACAACAGAGCATTCAAGTGATATGTTAAGCTGCTTTTCCAGCAATGGAACAAATCTCCAGGACCCAGAACACCAATTGCTTCTTATCTAGGTCACAGACTGGAAACAACTCCTTAGCTGAGCAGGAGTGGCTCATATCTGCAATCTTAGTTACTTTGGAATTCAAAGTTCAAGGCCAGACTGGGCCAGAAGTTTGCAAGACCCCATCTTAGCCAATAAAAATCTATCATGCCAATCGTCCCAGCTACAAGAGAATCTCAGTACAGGCTGTGGCTGTGGCACAAAAGACACATCCTAATGGAAAAATAACAACTGCAAAACAGGGCTGGCAGGATGGTACAAGTGGTAAGGCACCTGTCTGTTAAGCACAAGGCCTGGTTTTCAAACCCCAGTACAGTTTAAACACAGATACATGTTTAACACAAAACAGCTGTTGTTCAAACAAATGCAGGAGTAATGCTTGTCGTACAAAGTTATTGAGCAGATTAAGGATAATGTGTATCCAGATGTGTAAAGGGCTTATCCTGGCACAAGTAGGAAATGAATAAATAATTCACCATGGAACCCATTATAAAAATTAAATATTAAGTACAGGCACCCTAGAGCCAATGAACATCCTAGAAGCCCCCACCAACGTTTTCCCTCTCTAATGATATTTGTCTGACCTCTATTTTTACCATCCCATTAGTCCCTTTGGAAACTATTACATAAAGGAGAACACAGCCTTGTACACTGACCAAGCTTACCCATTTTCAACCATTCTCCTTGGGAGACACCTGGCCTTCCCTACTCTGCTCATGTTGTGCGGTCATGCTGTTGCCATGGTAACCTGTACCTAGCTGTCACCCATGCAGAAGCAGTGAGGACTCCTCGCCACAGAGAATAACCAGAAGGGACCCTGGGAACCCACATGAAGAGCCACCAAAACATGGCAACTGGCTATGGATGAACCTCCCTGAGCTTTCTTTTCTTGTCTTTTTGCCAGTCTTGGGCCTTGAACTCAGGGTCTAGGCACTCTCTGAACTTCTTTTGCTCAAAGCTAGCACTCTGCACCACTTCTGGCTTTTTCTGTGTACGTGGTACTGAGGAATCGAACCCAGGGCTTCAGGCATGATAGGCAAGCACTCTCCCACTAAAGGTGGCTACCTTTCCAGCCCCCTTCCTTGAGCTATCTGCTCTTCAGTTTTCACTCTTAACTCATCCCTTGACCCAATGAGATGGACTCTTGGCATCAAGTGACATTTTTCATCAGAGGCACCAGACACAGGTACTACCTGTGGGTCCTACAGGCTCAGGGTGAAGGCCCTGAGCAGTAGAGAACCACCGAGGGTCCATAGACAGGGCTGGGAATGTGGTGCGGGGATGTTGGGCTGAGACATACACAGGGAAGCATGAGCTCATACAGCAGGTCATCAGTATGGCACATGGGCAGCAAAGATGGTGCTGAGAGGGAGTTGAGTGGGCAGAGCCCGAGTTGTTTACATTAAAATCTGATTGGATACTCAGTGCGTGAGCAGCCCATGGACAGCAGGGAA